GGCAGGGCCGGCGCGGTGTCTCGCTCCCACGCCGCGCGGCGGGGCCGGCAGCGACAAGCGGCGCGGCGCTGACGCCATAACGAGATTGAAAAGCCGTCGCTTAATAGACGCGCTCCCGCAGGCCTCGTTAGCGGGGCTGGGAGGAGGCGGCAAATGGGACTGCTGGGACGAGTAATGAGGGCCCGGCGCTGAAAGCGGCCGCCCGCCCAAGGAAGCGCCCCGCAAGGGGGCGGGGGCGGGGGCGAGGGCGGTCAGCGGCGCCCCCAGATGCCATTGTCTTGCAAATGATCGCCTCCAATGTAGCGCCCTCGGGGACCCGGCTGCCTTCGTACAGCGCCGCACGACCAACGTCGTACTTAACAGCATTTTCGCGCAATTCTCTTGCAAATCCTTTAAGGCAATGGAAGCAATATTTCACGCATTGCATTGATTAGTCAACGGTGGTACGAACATTTGTTTCTATACACTAGCTGATGTATCCTGCGTTGCCCGGATATTTATTCACAATTATCTACAGAAATCAGAATCGCAAAGGAAAAGGAATGAATTCTACGTATGGAGTATCCCCGCCTTACCCTTTCCTTACCCACCGCCTCCTAACTTGCTCTTCCCCGTCTCCTTTGTTCTCATAATGCTGCATCCCACCTCCCCAGGTTCACCTTGTCTCTCCTTTGCTGTAAATCGCTCTACTATGACTGCCATGATCGTCCTTGCGACCATCATCGCCGCTCCCAGTATTCGGCAAACTCGCACGAACAATTTGGATCCCTGATTGCTCAAAGACAAATTGTGTCGTGGTAATGACTTATAATGCATTCATAGGGGAATTTTAGAGTCGTTTAATTACCTTTGGTAGATTTACTCGCTGTTTTGAGCTATTTACGACAACTTCAATAAGTGCATACTTCAATTTGTCTTGAAGTGGAAGGAAAGGGCAGGGGTTAATTTTACGACATATCATGTAGATAGTAACTTTTCTACTGTTTTGATAATCATGTTGTCTGAAATTCATTAAGATCGTAATCAAACTACAGATTTGCTTACAAAAACAAACAAATACCGTTGTTCTTTATAAAATAGGAAATAAAAAATTCAAAAGGTGTAGCCTAAGTTATGAGTATACCCGACAAAATACTTTTCATTTCAGCAATCTCCCCTCAAAAAAAGTTAAAAATCAAATAAACAATGGAATTGGTTGAAATTGTAAAACAATTGAAAAAGCGAATGAAACTCAATTTAGGGAAGCTTACTTAGTGTTGTATTTTGCGAGATCTCCCAATATGGAACACATTCTAACTGCCGTTCTAACAGCAGCAAGTAATTTTCAAAGCGACTCAGTCATTTTTTAATATTTTATTGCGTATGGGGACGTCATATCCGAAAAATTGTTATTGGCAGCAAATTCTTAAATCTCAAGTAATAATATGCAAAGAAACTCAAGTTTATATCTTTTTTCATTTGCTCAAGTTGGCAGTGCAATCGCGAGGACGCAGAAAATCATGCTATAGAAGATTTACCCAAAAATTTATGAAATGTTAGCTTATTATAAGGTCGATAGGACTATTTGCTCTACTCCTTTTGTTTTGAAAATGTCAGAATTTGAATTGATGGGGACGTGGTGACATTTGAATTGATGGACGATTCTATCGTGCCGGTTATCAAATTTTAATTGCGTAGGCGTTTCAGGGATTAGTGGAGTATTCAGAACATGCTTTTCAATTTACTACATCAGCTCATAAGGAATATTTAAATATTTTAAATTACAATAATGTAAGTGTTAAAGATATTTCATTACAAGCGTTTTCTATAATAAAAGTTGTGTATTGACAGATCATAGCTAGTTAAGAAAAGCAATAAAAATATATCATATGAAAGAACTGAGTATCTTGAAGTATTTCTTCATATCGCAGTTGAATGAAGATTATCAAAAATCGCACATACTTGAAAGACAGCGTTACGTAATAAAATATTTATTTGTCAGAGATATCTTTCAACACAAATGTTAGAAAGAGGGAAAGAATATTTTCCTCTCACCAAACGCGTCAATTTGTTGTGTAAACATAATTAAAGCATTTTGGTTTCAGGTTTTTAAATTGTTTCAGGTGACTTTATTTAATTATCAGAATTTGAGTTCCTTTTATTTATTTTTCCTTCAAAAAACATTACTTTGTTACTAGATTTTCACATATTTCTTCCCTAAGTTAATTAATAAAAACAAAAAGAAGAAAATGTTAATAAGTAAAGATGTTAAGAAAAAGTTAAGTAATCTCAAAAGATGTGCTAAATTGTAGTAAGAAGTTTGTAATAATAATTTTCGAAAATCTAGGAACAAAACATAAATATTTCGCTTAAAACTCTTTGGACATGAAAGATAAAGAAGAAAACAAAGGAGATTCAGAAAGGCAGAAAATGTAAGATAACAAAAGAAATAAAAGAATTAAATAGATAGAGAAAAGGGTAATGCAGGTGTTACTCTAGGAAAATTTCAGTAAAATATTTTCAACATTTTTACTGAAAATTTACGTTGTTAGGCCATCAAGTTACAATACGATATCTCCAAAACCTGTGTTTTTGATGCTTTATACCTTACATTTATGGAATTTCCAGTGAAACTTCCAGTGAAAGTATTAGTATTTGTTTTTCGCTAAAATAATATTCACGAAAGAAGTTGCTCCTCTACCTTTCCTTTAAAGAACTGTAAGGTTTTTTTACTAAGAAGTAAATATAAAGTTATCCTGTACTAATTTCATCGAATCCATCTGAGAATCTCGAAAACTTCTTAGTTACACGATCATTCCAAATTAAATAAAGTTGTCCGAAGGCATTCTACATATTCGTATGCAAATTAATTTAATTCGACAGCAGATTATTTTTCTTTTGTGTGTGGAATTGTCTTGTAAATTCAATTTGTTCGGTTCGGAGCCCGAGGACGGCGCTTCTTGAATAAACAAGGAGTCGCTGCGGAGCGCAGCAGGCGGGAGGGGGGAGGCGCTGGCTGCGACAGGTTAAATATTGCTGCGCTCTCTGGCGCCGACGCGTGGTGGGATGCGCCCCCCCC